GCATAATGTACTGAATTGAGCGTAGAGTATTGTCTGCCAAGTTTCGAGAAAATCGCTCCAGATTTAGATATAGCTCCCATACATAGTTTCGTCCGAGTTTATATATAGTGTGCACCAAAGTCCCTATATATCATTCGATTTGCACGAAATTTGGCGTAGCGTATTGAATTAAGTCTAGACTGATGTGTGCCAAGTTTCGTGAAAATCGGTCTAGATTTAGATATAGCTCCCATATATAGTTTCGTCCGCTTTCATGTAAATGGTGCACCAAAGTCCCTATATATCCTTCGATTTGCACGAAATTCGGCATAACGTACTGAATTGAGCGTAAAGTGATGTCTGCCAAGTTTCGTGAAAATCGGTCCAGATTTAGATATAGCTCCCATATATAGTTTCGTCAGATTTTTCCAAATTTCGATTTGCACCGAATATGGCATAGCGTACTGAATTTAGTCCAGACTGATGTCTGCCAAGTTTCGGTTGAGATTTAGATATAGCTCAGTTATATTATAGATTGATTTTAAGTAATTCGCGCACCAAGGATCCAATATATGGCTGATAGAAACAAAACGTACTGAAATAAGCATTACCAAAGCTGTGACAATTTTCGTTGAAATCGGTTCATATTACGATATAACTTCCATATGTATTTTCGCCCGATTTTAAGTAAATTAGACATCAGACTCCTCATGTTTGTCAGATTGACACCAAATTTTACACAACGTACAAAATTGAGCATAGAATTACTTTGTTGCGTTTTCTAGAAGCACAGACCTATTGATGACCTATTGAAATTTGTTTGAAGTCGATTTACATACTTTTGTCCGATTATAATAATCGAATGACATGTTTATAGATAGATCTAAGTCGATTCACATACTGGTTTTTAAATATATAGTTTATTACAAATGTGTTTAGCCGGAAGTCATACAAAAACTACGGTTTTTATATATTCCATCTGGTGTTTTTAATTGTATGGCATAATTGTTTTTATCTTGATTTTTTTGCTTCACCCCAATTTTCTTGTTTGCCTACTCCATGTGGTGCGTATGATTTATATTGATTTCCTGCTCAGCTTTGCTCTCAATAATATTCATACGCCACAGGGTCATTACGAATGCATAACTTCAATTGCAACAGAAATCCTTGCAATGTTTCTTTTTTTTTAAATTTCACAGTTTATGTGAATGCACAGAAGTATGGAATTATCGAAATAAAAAAAATATGTATATTCCGAACTAATAATCCTGACGTTTTTTGCTGCACAACATAAATATTTAATTAAAAACTTTATTTATTTTATGTGAACAGAAAAAAAGCGAAACTAGTGATGGAAAACAAAAACACGAACATACACACAAACAAAGTGCAATGAAATGGACAATAGAGCAATAATAAAAAAAAAACACCCAGCAAAACAAAAACATCATTCACAACCAGCACAATAGACAACGAGAGACACGTACAGAAAATTTAATAAAACTCTTTACATTTCATGGCAAAATAAACATCAGCATTGTAATTAGAGGCAAGGAAACGCAATGCTGGATTTTTTTTCGGTTCCTCGCTGAATAAAAACAAAAAACCAAATGAAAATCCAACAAAAAACCACACAAAGTGAAAAAATTAAGCAGCAAAAAATGAATATAACAATAATTATAAAAAACTACAACAACAGCAGTAACAACTAAAACAAGTACAGAAAGTAATTAACAATTTGTAGAATAATGAAAGTTTCGTAGGAAGTGTAAAGGAATTCCAGGAACAACAACAGAAACAAAGTGTGTCGCAACAAGTTCGAAATTTTGTTATTTCGTAAGTTTTGTCGGTTTATTTAACTAATTACTGAGTAATTATTTGTAGAAGCGAAGACAGTGGAACTGGAACTTCTGCGAAATAATAACTAAGCAATTGAAGATAACTAAATGTAATATTTTCGGGGAAAAAAGTTTAATTGTGTAAACTTTTGTCAAATTAAAACGATCACATTGTGACAGTAACTAGAAAAATTGCTTAAAGGGCAATAGAAAGTTGAGGTTAAGTGATGGGACGTAGTACAAAGACAAAACTTTACTAATTTTATTCTAACATGAGCTTTTATGTTTTATCGAAATTGCAAATTAAAAAAGAGAGAAGGAAGGAATTAAAGTAAAACCAGTAAGGAAAGTCGTAAAATCGGACGGGACCGACTATATGATACCCTTCACCACTATGGGTATATTAAACAGGACCATTAACATGAAATTGGATGAACTAAAATATGTAATAATTATGGAAATGTGAATCGACTAAGATCAATCCATAAACATGTCATCCGTTTGTTACGCTATTCTATGCTAAGTTTTGTACGATGTGCAAAATTTCTTGTCAATCTGAAAAACATGAGGAGTTTAATGCACCATTTACCTAAAATCGGACGAAAATATATATCACTTGTCACAGGTTAGGTTATACTAATTATGTTTCTATCAGCCATATATTGGTTCCTTGGTGCGTCAATTACATAAAATCAATCGATAATATATAAGGGAGCTATATCTAAAAGTCCTATATATCTTTTGATTTGCACGAAATTTGGCACAGCGTACTTAATTAAGCCTAGAATGGTGTGTGCTAAGTTTCATAAAAATCGGTTCAGATTTATATATAGCTCCCATATAAATTTTCGTCCGATTTAAGGTAAATGGTGCACCAATGTCCCTAAATATATTTCGATTTGCACGAAATTTGGCACAGCGTACTGAATTAAGCCTAGAATGATGTGTGCTAAGTTTCGTGAAAATCGGTTCAGATTTAGATATAACTCCCATATATATTTTCGTCCGATTTAAGGAAAATGGTGTATCAAAGTCTCTGTATATCTTTCGATTTGTACGAAATTTGGTACAACGTACTGAATAAAGTCTAGAATGATGTGTGTTAAGTTTCGTGAAAATCAAAAATGCGACGTCTGTTAAGATTCATCTGTTGAATTTACCCAAAATGGTGAAGGGTATCATATAGTCGGCCCCGTCCGACTTTACCTCTTTCCTTACTGGTTTTTAAACTTGGGTTTTGGTAATAAATCGGTGATTTTCCAAAAATATTTTTTCAATGGTCCACCATTTTGTTAATTTTAGAGCGAAGTCAATAATCCTAGTTCATACGAGAGCCAGATATGTACTCTTTCTAACACCGTTGGAATTTTCGGATTCCGATATTCCAGTGAGGAGTTATCATGCCCGCCATCAAAAATAAGAACTTTTCTTTAATTACAAAAAACAACAACAAAATTTTTTTGTAAATTACACTGTGCTACAAAATAACAAAAAAAAATTTTTAACGGTTCTAATGTACCAATTCTGTTTAGTTGGAGTCCCTGGATCACGAAAATACCTTTGGTTTTTCTGGGTCACTTCGAAAATTAATTTTATAACGGTAAATATAGAGAAAAACGTGGTTTCATGGATTTTCCATTTTAAACTTGAATAACTTATTGACTTTATAACGGATTTATATTATTCTTTTTTTATTTCGAAGAGTACAATTTTTCCTTTCAAACAAGATATATATTTGGTAAATCGGTTGAGGATTGGCTGAGTTACAGCGGTTGAAATGTGAAAAAATACGCATAAAATGACAAAATTTATTTTTCTTCGGACTGTACGATGAAATTATGATATCAAGCCATATAAATTTTATTATATTACGGGGAAGAAAATTAAGTTAGCTTTCGAAAATGATAAAAATCAAAAAAATCGGTTAAAAAATGGATGACTTATACACATTTTTGTATTGAATCTATGCATATTCTCTAAAGGAAATATGTGTCTGTATCGTTTCCTGTTACAAACCGTTATGATTGTAACAGGCAAAAGGAGACGAAATAGAACCATATTTCCTTTAGAGAATATGCATATAATCAATACAAAAATGCGTATAAGTCATCCATTTTTTAACCGATTTTTTTGATTTTTATCATTTTCGAAAGCTAATTTAATTTTCTTCTCCGTAATATAAAAAAATTTATATGGCTTGATATCATAATTTCATCGTACAGTCCGAAGAAAAATAAATTTTGTCATTTTATGCGTATTTTTTCACATTTCAACCGCTGTAACTCAGCCAATCCTCAACCGATTTACCAAATATATATCTTGTTTGAAAGGAAAAATTGTACTCTTCGAAATAAAAAAAAGAATAATATAAATCCGTTATAAAGTAAATAAGTTATTCAAGTTTCAAATGGAAAATCCATGAAACCACGTTTTTCTCTATATTTACCGTTATAAAATTAATTTTCGAAGTGACCCAGAAAAATCAAAGGTATTTTCGTGGTCCAGGGACTCCAACTAAACAGAATTGGTACATTAGAACCCCTGAAAAATGTTCGTGTCGCACAGTGTTATTTTTCTTCTCTTTTAAATTTTCAAATATATATGGGCGAAGTTGCAAACCTTAACAAGCATTGGTATTGATTTACCAGCCCATTGAAAATCTTGAAAAATTAAAATCGAGAATGGTTGGGGTTCACTTAAATCGGACGAAAATATATATGGGTCCTATATCTAAATCTGAACCGATTTTTCCCAATTTCAATAGAGTTTGTCCTTGGGCCAAACAAATGAGCTGTGCTAAATTTCATCCAATTGTGATCATAAATGCGACCTGTACTTTGTTTACAATTTAACATGGACAGACAGACGGACATATATAAATCGATTTAGAAAGTGATTCTATGCATATTCTCAAAAGGAACCATGGGTCTATCTCGATTATTATTGCCTGTTACAAACATATGTACAAAGACATAATACCCTGTACCACAGTATGGTGAAGGGTATACAAATTAATAAACGCAAACAATATGTTATTTTCATTAGTGAAATCTCAGCAACAAATAAAATACAAAGCGGTAGCCAAATAAAAAAATTCTATATCCTTTTATTATGTTACATATTGTTGTTTTGTTCAAATGGCCTCTACCCCGACTCTACTCGCCATCCATCTATATCTCTTACCTGGATGTTGTTGAACCGACTTCATCATATCATTATTTTGATTGCCATCACAATAGTTGTGTTTGTTAAAATTCGAAAATGTCGATGAGGAGGATGACGATGATAATGATACTGTTGCTGTCATTGTCTGTGACACAGTTGGTGAAGTGGTTGCTGCTGCTGCTGCAGCCGCTGTTGTTGATACCTTTGTCATAGGTCCAGTTGCCATTTTGGTTTCTATGGTTTTTATGACAGCACGTGTGTCTTTTGTTGGCGGCAGTGGCGGTGGCTGATGCTGTCCCGAGTTATATGATGACAATGAACAAATATTGTTGGCGTTCCTTTTGTCGACTATTTAAAAATCAATTTGAATATGGTTCAGTTTTGTGCTCAGAACATGTGTGTGTGTGGTATCATCAGTTCTCTGTCTACTCGTTTGTTTGTTTATTTGTTTGTTATTGAACGAAATTTCATTTAAGTTTATCTTTTTGTTTTTTTTTTATTAAATTTTTGTTGGATTGTTCACATGAGTGTGCATTGTGCTGTATATATTTGATTTTTTTGGCGAATCTATTTGTTTTTCCCAATTTATATTTAACAAAAAATAATAGTTGAGCTGAATTCCGCACAACTTTTGAGGTTTGTTATTTTGTTTATTTGTGTACTAAAATCCTAGCATAACTTTAATATCGTGAAAGTGGCAGATTTATATTTAAATTTCATATTTATAAACACACACAACGTTGATTTAAAGCTTTAATCGTTAGTTTAAATATAGAATTAAACAATTTGGTGTTAGTAAAATTTAACTGGTGTCATTTTAATCCAGTGAAGCTATTACCTTATTATTTGTATAAAGATCACTAAAGATCACCGAAGTTTAACATTAACCAGTGAGCGGAGCAGTATAGACCATACGATACCCTACACAACTACTACGGAACTATTACTTTCTCCGGAGGTTTATTACGAGCCTGGGCAATATTTCGTGATATTTGCAACATCTTGCCCGATGAGAGGTCAACTGCACCTCTCCCTTACACTGACATATTTTCGGAATATTACTAATATTCAGTACAGCCCTTCTAATTTTTTGTCCGTTCGGTTCCCTTCAACGAGGGATGTGTTGTGATGTTCGACTTATAATTGTGGCCTATAAATCGACTCGAAAACACAAAAAATTAAGTTTTCGGTCCACTTCATCTCAAAATTTGTATCAGATCATCACCAAAAATTGTCCCTAACCATAACCGGAACCTTATGGAAAATTTCAAAGCTATCAGCGCTGTAGGTCCACCCTCTATTGTAAATATTGAAGTGTAACTCTCATATCAGAGTAGATACATCATTATATTTGATATCAACTTAAAGTCTACCTACTCCTCTTGGATATACCATCAATTTCTCGGGTCAATATCCTTCAGGAATAAATAAATACGCCATAGAATAAACATTTTGTCATTTTTCACACGAAAGTCAGGGTCCATTTGACCTGCTAAATATTCACCGATCTTTATCAGAAGAGGCATGCTCATGCTTTGGCCCGATCCCCTACTCCATGTAAAATTTCACGATGTTCGGACCATAATTGCGGCCTCTGGAGCGACTAGAAAAACCGACAAAAATTTAGTATTTGATCCATGTCATCCCCTAAATATTAACCGATCTTTACCAAAAACAATAGGGGTCTTCATTGGCGAGAACCCATCCTACATGCAAAATTTCGTGAAGATCGGTCCATAACTGTGGCCTGTATCGTGTTTACAAATTATAATGGACAGACGGACGGACACACATGTCTAGATCGACTTAGCTAGTCGAGATGAGACGATCGGTATAGTTAAAGGTGGGTCTAGGACCAATATTTCGCGGCGTTGCAAACTCTTGGGGTTGCACAAAGCTATAATACCCTGACAACATAGATGTGTAGGGTATAATAATTCCGTATCTCAGTCAGTTCAATAATTCCGTATCTTCTCGAAGAAAATACATTTATTTAAGTTAGAGCTTCTGGAGGTACCAGAAGGAGTGGATCGGTATTCCCCAATTTTCGAAGAAAAATATTATATTGTGCAAAAATTGGTTGAAATCGGTTACTCCCTTCAAGAGCTATCGTGCGCACCAGGCGAAAAGACAGACGGACGGCCCAAATGGCTTGGTCCAAAGAAACATGGGGTCTAAAATCAATATTTCGATGAGGCACATTTTTGCCGTATCAAAGTATATATATCCTCATTAGCCATAAGGCTGAGGGTATAAATTCCGAACATTGGGGCGTTCAGTATTATTGGTATTTTATCGTCTGAGAATGCGAAATTTTAGTCCATAACCACTCAAAAAACATAACAGGTGAGTAGGAGACGGGACAATTATTATATATATTCAAGATAAGGTCTTTCACATTAATTGGGGGTACATTCGGGGTAGTTCCGGTATAGTGGTACATCAGTATTTGGAGCTTTTGGTCACATATTTAACCAAATCACCTTTGATTTGGTATTTCGGTATCTCACTAAGTGGAAAGTCTACCAATTAAAACTGGTCCACTTTTTAGGTTAGCTCCCATATAAAACGCCATCCTGAATTTCGGTATTTTGGGGAGTTTGAACACGTGTTTCAACTATAAAATTGCTATAATTTAATATTTTGAATTCTCGTTGTAAAAGAAAACAACCCTTTCAAAGACAAGTAAGGGAAGTTCAAAAGTAGGTCGGACCGACAATATGATATGAGTATATACAGGAGCTGCTCATATATGCGATGATTCGCATAGCATATTATCAAAAACAGAAATAACACGTACCAAAGATCATTCTAGATTCAATTTGATATGCTATGCGCAATTTCGTGTCAATCGAATGAAATATTGGGGCATTGGTGTTTAATTTTCTTAAAATCGGATGAAAATATATACATAGGAGCTATATCTAAATTTTTATCGATTTCAATGATAAAATTTCAATGATGAATTTCCATCTGCGAAGCCTTGAGATGACTAGATATGAGAAATGGATCACATAAGATAACCCTGAGCGAAAACGGTGGCCAAACCAGGACAAACGACCACGAAGGTTCTGGTATGCATTTGTAAACAAAGTACAGGTCGTATTTATGATCCGAATTGGATGAAATTTGGCACAGGTCACTTATTTGGCCCAAGGACGAACCCGAATCAACTCTATTTCATTTTACTGGTCCTTCAAAAATGGGATGTATGTTAGGATTCATCTGTTGAATATACCCAAAGTGGTGAAGGGTATCATATAGTCGGCCCCGTCCGACTTTACTGCTTTCCGTACTAGTTTATTATGAGTTGCTTCCATATGGGCAAACACTATATTCTGATCGGACAGAAATGGCCAACAGGAGAGGTGTCGTGTTCCACCAGGACAACGCTAGGCCACACACATCTACAGTGACTCGCCAGAAACTACGGGAGCTTGGTTGGGAAGTTTTAATGCATACGCCATACAGTCTGGATTAAATTTTCTGTAGCCCCCATATAAGGATATCCTCTTTTTCCTGCATTGCAAAATTTCTTTAATGATAAAAAATTTGTATCTAGGGAGGGATTGTGAAAATCGGATATTAGAGTTTTTTTGTAAGTGGAGAGCAGGACTTCTATGTGAGAGGTATTATGAAGTTACCTTTAAAGTGACAAGAAATCATACAACAAAACGGTGCAAATCGGACATTTCGAAGCATGTTAAAAAAATTCCTATAGTACATATAAAAATAATAGATTTTTTCCCCAACCTAATATATTAATTATTATACCCTCCACCATAGTATGGAGGTTATATTAATTTTGTTTTTCCGTTTGTAACTCATCGAAATAATCATAAGGATTATTTCGATGAGTTACATATAATGAGTTAATATAAGGACATATATTCTTGATCAGCGTAAAATTCTATAACAATATAGCCATGTCCGTCTGCCTGTTCGTCTGTCTGTTGTAATCACTCTAGCGTCTAAACGAATTAAGATAGCAGGTCAAGTTGGAAGAAGGGTTTTATCGGTCCACGTTTAGGCATAGCTCCCATATAAGGGTACCCCCCCCCCCCCCAAATTTTCGGTATTTTGAGGTTCTTGAGCTGGGTTTTAACTGAATTCGCTGAAATTTGGTACATTGAGTTCTTATCGGGGTAGCAAATCTCTCCACTAAAAATTATAAATTTGGGTCCATATTTACGGGTAGCCCATTTGGGGAGTTTGATCGCATTTTTCGACCGAATTCGCAGAAATTCGGTACTTTGAGTTCTTGTTGGGTAGGAAATCTCTATACTAAAAATTATAAATATAGGTCAATTTTTTCGGGTAGCCCCCATATAAGGGTACCCCCCAATTTTCAGTATTTTTGGGTTCTTGAGCGCGGTTTTCAACCGAATTCGCTGAAAAATGGTACATTGGATTCTTATTATGTACCAAATTTCCCCACTAAAAATTATAAATATAGGCCCACTTTTTCTGGTAGCCTCCATATAAGAGTACCTCCCACTTTCCAGTTTTTGGGGGGTTTTGACCGGATTTTTTTTACCGAATTGGCTGTAATTTAGTAATTTCAGTTATTATTGGGTAGAAAATGTCTCCACAAAAAATTATAAATATAGGTCAATTTTTTCGGGTAGCCCCCATATAAGGGTACCCCCAATTTTCTATATTTTGAGGTTCTTTAGCGCGATTTTTAACCGCTGAAATTCACTGAAATTTGGTATTTTGTAGTCGTATATGGTAGCAAATCTCCCCAAAATTATTAATATTCACCCCTTTTTAGGGGTACTCCCCATATAACCCCCTTTTTTATATTAAAATAGTTATCTGATTTGTTCCGTGTGTTGCGGTTGGGTAGTCGTTACGTCAATTTTTACCCTACAAAGACTATAAAGATATTGTGATAAAAGAAAACTCAAACATGATGATAATGAAATATATTGACAGACATTTAAGCATCTCCTCAATATAGTGATACCTCCTGAAGGAAAGAATTGAGATAAACAATTAAAATATTGCGTTCAAAATTAGCATATACGGGTCATTAATTAGGCATAGCCCTCATATAATGATATCCCGAAATATTCACTATTTCCTACACTATGTAATCAATATTGGTCCCCCTTTAGGCATACCCTCATATAACTTTGTAATCTAAATTACAGTAGTTTGAGGATTTTATACTCTACCATGCGTTATCAGTATCAGTCCACTTTTTGGATCTTACAGATTTTA